CAGGGTCTCACTGTGTAGTTCAGACTGCTCTGGAACTCACTGTGTAGCCCAGGCTGGTCTCGAACTTTCAGCGGTCCTCCTGCCTCAGCCTCCTGAGTGCTGGGATTACAGGCATGTGCCACCACACCCGGCTTTTCCTTATATTTTTGCAGTTACCTCATATTATTGAAAGCAGTAATGATTTCCTCTTGGTAGTACTAATATCAAGGTTTTTAGTTAATGCAGTTTTTTAAAAGTGAGTGCTTTTAGAGATAAAAAAGCAACTAAAAATAGAAATTGCTCTTAGATATGATAGAAATATGAGAGTAGGCAATATAAAGGAATGAAGTACTACTAGTGAAGTGGTACTATAGTATAAATAAACTTAGAATATATCATGGCAAGTGAAAAAAGCCACTTGCAAAATGCCACATATTGTCTGTATTTAAGAAATATCCATAAAAGGCAAATCTAAGTGAATAGATCAGTGGTCGCTAACTATCACTGAATAGTCCACTTGATACAATGTTATGGTATTTGAGATGTTGAAAAGTTTTGAGAGTGGCAGGTGAATATTGGAAATTTTGGGACCATTGGACAATTACAATGGGGTGGTTTTCAAATTGTGTCCTTCAGCACTTCCACAGAAGCTACTTTGGAGGAAAAATGGGAGGATGGACAATCAGGCCTGGCTCAAGACCACTCGAGTCTGTCCCTAATTGTTTTATAAACAATTCATCTTAGAAGCATGGACATTACTATAAATAAACAGAGCTACCCCTACCTGCCGAGCAAAGGTAGGTTCAACAGCCCCAGCTGATGGTGCAGACACCGTGTGAGGCTATTTATAGTCTAGGTGTCATGGTTCATTTATGAAGGTGGCTCATGCACCATTTATGAGCTAGAGGAGAAAGTTAACGTATTACCTCTGGGGGAACAGAACACAACAGGACAGTCAGCTTACGGAAATTGGCTCTGTTAGATGGGTATTCATCTGTCTCTTGGCCAGAGTTTTGGGACTTAGACACCAATAGGCCTATCAAAGAGCATCATGGAAGCAAAACCATTTGTAGCTTGAGCAATGTCTGCTTAGGATTTCAGTGGGCAATTCCAGGGGAGGACAGGATCCCTATGCTAAAAATATCTGCTGGTAATGCCAAAGCTTGATGGCATCATTGCAGAGTTTTGATTTTCTAAGTCAAATTAGCAAGTAATTATCACTTGTAATTTTCTTTATGGATAGGCAAATGAAGGCTCTGAGCTGAAGACAGCTGAGCAAATGAGGGGGGTAGGACCTCCTCCCTTATGGAAATTCCATCTGCGTGAGGTCAGGCCTTTCAGGGCAGAGGGGAGGTAATGGATGTAGGAGACTCCTCCCAGCTGTGAATTCAGCCATCTATGTGTTTCAGAGCTGCATTCATTTCCCCGCTGCTTGTTGCCACTCAAGTGTAGCTTCTCAAAGGGTTTCTCTGCTTCCTCCCCTGATGCCCACAACAGAATATATCCCTTAAAAGCTATAGTTGTCTACTTAAAACAAATGAGATGAAATCACACTCTTGTGCAACACTCTCCAGTGGCTTCCCATCTTATTAGGAATAAAAGCCCAAGAATAACAACCAAAGAACAAGCTTCAAGCTGATCTCAGTCTGTTCTATTCACATATGGTTCCTGAGCACTTAAAATATGGCTGATTGGAATACAGAAGTGTTGTGCACGGTAAAACATACTTGGTGTATACCCCTATGTTTGTAGTATTTGAAGACAGCATGAAAAAGAATGCTAACTAGCCAATAAAACTTTATAGTATTACTATTAAGCTAATATTTTGGATTTATAATATTGGCTTAATAAAATATATTATTAAAATTATCTTCACCTAAAAGTTTTTGAAAATGCAAACCTGGAGATCGTTGTGTTAAGTAAAATAAGCCAAGCATAGACAGATAAATACTAGGTGATCTCACCCATTTCTGGAATATGAAAGAGTTGTCTTCTAGCTAGAAGCTGAGAGTGGAATGGTGGTTACCAGAGGCTGGGAGAAAAGGGGAAGGTTGATCAGTGGGTGTTAGGTTACAGTTGGATAGGTGTCCTAGGCTCTGGTGTGCTATTGTATAGTTGGTGACTACAGATAAAAATTATGTACTGTCTGTCTCAATAAACTAGGAAAAAGACATGGAGTGTTTTCACCAAAACAGCTGAGAGATGTTTGAAGAGATGTAGATGCTTAACAGGATTAGATATTGCACAATATGCCCATGTATTGAAAGAGCACACTGGTATCCCATTATTGTGTACAGTTTTTCTGTACCAATTAAAAATGAAAATAAAAATGAAGTCACATCTGTGACCACATTATGCTTCTTCTTTTAGCACCAATCTCACCTTGTTCTAACAGCTGCACCAGCCCTCTCCCCTCTCCTTGAACGAGGCAATCATAAGCCAGGCTCTGTCCCTGCTGTCCACTCACATAGGAGAGTGCTTCACTCAGCTCTCATGGCACATGGTTGCTGCCTTTGCCTCCTCTAAGTTTTTGTCCAAATGTAATTTACCAGAGAGACCTCTTCTGACCTCACTGTCTAAAGAAGCACCCCGCCGTGATCCCTCCTGATCACCTTGTCTTGCTTTATTTTGGTTCATGGGACTTACATCCCCGATACTACAGTGCACAGCAATTATCTGTTTACTGCTATCTTTTCTACCAAAATGTACACTTCAAAGGGCAAAGGATTTCTCTTCTCATTGTCAGATCTTCCACTTCCTAAAACTGTGCCTGGTGCCAAGTGGGTGCAGTCCCTGCCTGCACATTGCTTTGTGTCCTGAGGGAGAAGGACTCAGCAAATTTCTATAACTGCACAGTGAATAGTGCTCTCACAGGGATGCAGAAGAGGTTGCTGATGCTGGTCTTGGGGGCCAACTTCCTATCTACTTACCCCTTATTGACTAACAGAATCTCAGTGCTATTCAGGTACACACTCTTCCCCTGAAGCCAAGTTACTGCTCATGAGGAGGCCACCCAACCTCAACCAATGATTCAGGAGTGGGCATTAGATCCAGCTCTAGCCAAGGAGACTATATAAGTTTACTGAGAAGGTTCCAGGAAAACTGAATGTTTTCCTGAAAGAAGAAAAGCCCCTCTCTTTCTTCTAGGTATGGTCATATCTGTGTGTGATGCCTGGAAGTGCTGCAGCCAAATTGCGACAACAGGAAGATGAAGCCAGTACTAAGCTCTGTCAAGCAAAGGGAGTAGAAACAGCTACTGAGCCTGTGACTTGACCAGCCATAAAATCTGTGTTGCTTTATGATTCTCCATGGGAGATGATGAATGTGTCTACTTTTAAGCAATTTGAAGCTTGAGTTTTGGTGGCTTCCAGCTGAAAGAAGTTATCCCAATGTGAACCATCCAAAGAATAGGAAATAATCCTTGAAAAATCTTGCAGATACCAAAGAGCATTGTACTTTCTCAGAACTGAGAGATGATGATTTTTTTCACATGTGTTTTCTGTGCCTTGTACCAAACAAGGTTCTAATTTGTGCATCCAGGTTCCTGATAAGGGAGCCAAGATTTGAAATCTGTTCTCTGTAATATCAGTCCCTGACCTTAATCGACATGTCATATGATCTCTTCAGCTAAGCAACCTTTCCCTGTGTCTGAGTCATTAGAAACGTCTCTAGGCAAGATCTTCAAAGGGCCACAAGTTTGAAAATAAGGTTGTATGTGTCAGGAGTGTTGAGTCCCATATGTTTGCAAAGCAGTTTTCATTTTACTTCTTCTAAATTTAATTTCTCTTTATGAACCTTTCTTTTTTCTATCCCTGTGCAGCAGGAGCCACAGGAAGTAGGAAGAGTAGGGCCATGCAAAAGGCTAGAAAACCAGGCAGTCAATCATACCAGAATCCCATAAACTGATCCTGAAGATGGGAAGAGATTATTTCCTTAACAGTAAGTTAGTCATTCCCAGGCAAGGCATTTTTTACCACTGAAGGCCCATTGTGCTTCTGGAGTGAGTTCATCACATAAATGTGGCACCCAGAGGATCATCAACAGAGTGCTGAGGAAAGAAAACAGCCTGGCTGTTGATGCCCTGCAAATGTGACACCAAGATCTGCAGAATCTCCTCTAAACTCATTAGCACAGCACTTCTCCCAGAAGCAGCTACACTACAGGGCCAAAACTAGTCAGATTCTAACTGGGGAAAGCTAATATCTTCAATATGCTCCAGGATCCAACATCGCCCCCTTCAAAATTTTTGCACATGCTCTTCCATTGACATAAATGCTTGTCTCTCCCTTAAGCCTTGAAAACTCCTGGTCATCCTTAAAGAGCCAGCTCAGATGTCACTTCCCTGTGAAGCATCCTCCATTTTTCCCATGGATGAGGCAGTTGCTTGCTCCTTGGGGCCTTCCCAGAACTTTGCAAAGGCCTTTCCTGCACAACTTTTTCTGTGACATGTAAAGTGACATTGTAGTTCTTTGTCTTAGCAGCTGATTCTGCTCTAGATTATGAAGTCCTTTAGGGGAATGACATGGGCCATTCACCTCTATAATCCACAGTGCAGGACACTCGATATGTTCTCAGTAAATAGTGTGAAGAATGAACATACATGAGTGTGACAGAGAGAGAATGAAATTGGGTGAGTGAGTGCTCTGCCTGAGCAGAGTGAACACAGCAGCATTGGGTGTTGAAAGATGTGAACAAGAGCCCATGTTGGCTGTGGAAGGGATGAATAGTGGATGGATGAGTGAGCGAAGGATCCATGGAAGACAGCTCAAAAGTCTTGTCTTCTGAAATTTGAATAGTTTCATTCCTTTGCTCCTGGGCTGGAGCACCCATTCCTCACCTGTCACTGCATGGTTTAGCACAATAAAGGTGAAGCCAAGTTCTTTCTTTGTGGACAGTTTGTTTTCAGGCCCACACAGTGTGTGTTTGGAAGTGTGTGTGTGTGTGTGTGTGTGTGTGTGTGTGTGTGTGTGTGTTGGATGGTGGCATGTCCAAGCCTGAGGCAGTGTGGTCAGAGGAGAGCAAGGGCCTCCTGCATGTTGAGATGGTAAAAGTCTCAGGAATGGTTCTTGAATCCTCAAGATGAAGTCAGGTGCTCTTCACCACTCTTGGATTCAAGACCATCTCTCTTGGATCCATCAGTTCTTGAGTTTAAAACATATTTTGGGGGAGCATATAGAACCTTTGACAATCAGGTAAACTCTATGGGTTTCCCTCTCTTAAAGTACTACCCCCCTCTTAAAGTACTTGCACTTACACACACACACATGCATGTATACATGCCCTCTTGCATTTGGAATGTTTAGGAGTTAACAGAGCCCCTTCAATATGACTAGAGGACCCCTCAACTCAGATTAAGAACACCTTGGGATTGTCACTTTTACCTCACCACTGTAGTCTTGAGATGAACTACAGAGCATAACACATGATATTATGGCTTCACATGTTTCTGTTGAGTTGGATTTCTGTTGAAGTGGGTTCAATTTCTGTTAAACTGAGTGGAATTGAAATTCCCTAATCTGAGAAGCAGAGGCATAGACTAGATGCCTTTCTAAAGTATCCTGTCCAAGGGGATTCTGAACTATTTACAGTGCGGCCTCTAATACTGACCTTAAACTGATCAATCTTTCCAGACACTTTCAGTCTTCAGCACTCTCCAGAACATGTGAGCCTTTCCTATTAAAAAGGCTCAGAGGGGGAAAACAAGAGAATATAAAATATGATTCACATCTGGATGAGCAAACACTTCTCAGTGTTGGAACAACCTAATTAATGGCGAGGCCAAGCCATTGGCCTAGTTTCCTCTGTACCATACGCTACGCAAACAACACCCAAGGTTCTAGTCTGAGCAAGATGTGCTAACCCCCATTCTAGAGAGGGTAACCCATATTGGTGAAAAACAGTAACAGCTGAGGTGGAAAATAATTAGAATTTAATTTACCCTGAACTTGGCACTTAATAATGGGAATTAAATTTCATTAATACAGTTTAGAGGATTTCTCCTGCTCAGAAGGATTTATATGAGGGAAGATGAATAACTATTAAATCACCAGTGAGGTGGAAAGGCAAAGATTGAAATTGCCAATAATGGGTGGTTTAGCCAGGCAGTGGGTAAATAGGCTTTTTAAATATTTACATATGTAGATGTGTTTACATAGGGAGGAGTGTAAGCTATGGAAATATTTTGAATAACTATTAGAAAATAGCCATCAAAACAAATAAATAAAGCATATATTATGTAACCCAGGTATATTGGGATGTTTCCTATAAATGTGTTCATATCTGCAACCCATGAAAATGATCATTGCTCAAGACAGCAAAGACTAGAAAAAAAACCTGTATCCAGGTAGCACTGTTAGCAATAGGGAAGTTGAGGGAGCCACTCCCTTCCTTCCATTCAACTAGAAACACAGCACTACTCTAATGATTATCCATGCTTAAGCTTTGGAGGTTGTGATGCCTAAGGTGGCAGATCAGCAGCGCCAGTGGTAGACAGACTGGGAGGCACATGGAGTTGGAAGTGTTTGGCCACAATGGGAGGCTCTGGAGTCAGAGGTGTCTGACCCTTTCAATACTGGAAGCCTGAATTATAAAGGGTTTTTCTTCATCCTTTTTCCCTTTTCCCTTCTGCCTGCTCCTGCTGCTACTGTATCGTGATCTTCAAGAAATATAGCTACTTATTCCTTACTAATGAGGTATATACTTGGCAACTCTTTCCTTGTCTTACACAAGAATCTGGACTGTAATATTTGGTGAGCCAGCCAGGAGGCTATTACCACACCTCCAGTAAGCTCATCAAACATCACCAGCCCAGTGCAGAAAAGTCACCTCATATAGAATGCAGCAGCAGCCTCAGAGGTCTCAGAAGAAGGGATAACCAGGCAACCCAGTCAGCAAGGAATGTAACTCCCCACTCTCGAGACCCTCTTCCCCTTTATGGGCAAAAAAAAAAAAAAAAAAGATTCCTAACAGGAGAGGTAGACCAGTTGCACATGGCAAAGACTAGATTGTGAGGTACAATATATCTTTGTGGGGGACAAGAGGGACCCTGCTGATCAGTTGGGCTTATATTTTGTTGTTGATCTACACAATATTGAAAGTCCATCTTAGAGTTCATGGCAATACACACCTTAGCAGGGATGAACATATGCCAACTGGACAGGAATTTGAGGACTGCACCTTTACCTTCAGAAATATGACCAAATATTCATCCCCAGAGTGCACTGAACAAAGGAATGTGTCTTCCTATGGTGCTTCTCATCCTCAGCCATGGGACAAGGCTGGAATCTCTCCAAGTCTGTAAGAAAAAAGAGAGAAGACAGAATAAGTAAATAAAGGCCTTTTGTTCAAATTTGCTTTATCTTGTATTATCAGAAATCTATAAAGGCATTTTAGAGCAAAGCAAACATTTTAGTTTCCTTGGGTTGCTGTAAATAATTGCCACTAACTAGGTGAGTTAACATAACAATAATTTATTCTCTCACCATCATGGGGGCTGGGAATCCAAAATCACGATGTTGGCAGGGTCAGGAATAGTTGGTCAATTCTGGAGGCTCTGAGGGAGAATCTGGTCCTTTTTTCTTTTCTAGCTTCTGATAGCCGCAGCAATCCTTGTTCTTTGGCATGCACTCCAACATCATTACAGTCTCTGCTATCTTTGTTGTCTTATGGTCTTCCTCTCTGTGTGTCCTCTCCTATTTTTTTTTGTCTTTTATAAAAGCACACATCATTGGATTTGATCCTCCCCTATCCACTATGATCTAACCTTTAGGTCTTTAATTATACCTGCAAAGGTACATATTCCAAATGAATTTGCATTCTGAAGTCGAGAGCAGAGGTGTCTTTTACAGGGGACACCATTTAACCCATCATGGCAAGGGAAAAGAAAAGTACAGAAGTCAAAGAAAAAAAAAATAATAGTGCTATTTCACAAGAATGGGGGAAACCACCGTAAATCTCATAAGATCACAGGCTCCAAGGAATTAATGATCACAAGGCTGAATTCTACCCAGCAGGAGCCACTCTATTTTGTTAGCAAGAACGTATAATGTAGAGTTTATTATTCTTCATCCACTTAATTTCAAAAGGTGCCATACTGATGGTGCCATAGGTGAAAGAGCTCTTCATAACCATCCATTGCAAACTGCTTGTACTATAGCTGTGGGCTGGAGCTCAGAGAGAGCAAGCCGGGCTCCACAGAAGCCTCACAGAATAGAACTGTTCGGATTTCATTCCCGACACTGCTTCTCACCACTAAAGAAGATAGAAACCTGGGCCATCAACTAATAAAATTGAAAGTCATCTTCCTGAAGGGTGTCAGAATCATAAGTTGATAAAATGATAAATGATAAATTATAAGTTTCATGTAATAAGGATTCTTAGGAAATGGGTAGCACGACCTTCTGGGAAAAGATGCATCTGAAAAATTGGGATGTGGGTTTCTGCTTTAGCTATATGTAGGAGCCATGGGAAGTGGTACACGCACATAGGAAGACTGTGCCCCCATCCCATAGCAGATAGGAGTAATATTGTCACTGTTATTCTAGGATATGCCACCCATGATCTCATTTAATCCTCTTCCAAATTTCCAGAAGGTACGTCTACAGTACAATTCTCCTATCTCACAGGCACAGAAGCTGAGCTTAGCATGGCCAAATCCTCTGGATAAACTTGTGTGGCTTCTTACAAGGAGCCAGAGGTTGACTCTGGTTGATCAGGCTCTTCCTTGCCTAGACTTTTGACAAGCACACACGGGCTGTCATGGTGTCTGTCGTATCCTCTGCCACCCAGCTCAGCACCTGCCACGGAGCAGGAGCTCATACACTCCGTATGAACTGGCAGGGCAGACACCTACTGACCTGGTTCTATGCCTACTAGTGCCTCAGTGAGATGCTATGACTTGCAAAATGGGTACCAGGTGAGCATCTTTGCAGGGCTACCGAAGCCTAACATGGAATTTGATGCTAGAAAGTTTGGGTTCTGAGGTCAGGTGGTATGAGTTCAGATCCCGACTTTAGTAGTTGTTAGATTCTAAGAAATACTGAACTTTGTCTTTTTCCTTTTACATTTTGATTAACATGTACTAATTGTACATATTCATGGGGTTCAGTGTGATATTTTGACACATTTGCTGTTCAAATCAGGATAGTTATCATTTCCCTGTCTTTACTGCTTCTTTAGCTTTCGGGGGAGATCTCCTCTTTTAGATCTCTTTGTGCTTCAGTTTCCTTATCTATGAAAGGGAGATAATGCTACCACTCTGTAAGACCCAAGTTTTCTGATCAAGGTGGTCTCCCTCTTTGACCTTTGCTCAGAATATAAAGACCAAGTTTTCTGGGCAGAGAAACATTGCTAACAACCCCGTTTTTCTGTTCCTCTTTTTCTGACCCTGGGGTGAACTTATTTCCTCCCCGATGGTTGCTTGGTTAGAGATATTATATGTTTTGCTGAGTATAGAGATCCCCGATAGTTGCTTAGTTAGAGATATTATATGCTTACATGCAAAATAAATAAGAATAGAAATAGAGTGCCCCCCTGAGCTCCTCATGGGTAGCCCCTCATGGGTATGAGATAATTCCCCTCATGGGTACCCCAAGTGTCCCAGTAATAATCCTTAATAATGAAAAGTTAAAAATAGTATCAATGTTCAGCCCTATATAAGCACGTTGACACACTCATTTCTGATTCGCTGGTTCGGTAAAGTACGAGGGTCCAGGCTCGAGCTTGCAATAAACTCCTCATGTAATTGCATCAGACTCGACTCCTTGGTGGCCTTCTTGGGGATTTCGCTACTTGCGTACAACACACTCCATGTGACGAGGGAGGGTAACAGGAGAAGTGTGTATAGTGTGCTCGCAAAATGCCTGTATACAGAAAGTCCTCCCTGCATG